TTAAGTCTATGAGAAAAATGATGGAGAAGATTCGCATCAGGAAGCAAAAAGCTTTGGAAATCATTTCACACGCAGAGTTGTTTATAGAAAATCACAATTTTCGAGACGTGATTTTGGTTTAGGTGTGACCAAATGGAAGACGGTTAATGTGAGCCGGTATGGCATGATTACTTTACGTTATTTTATTTTTTTAAGTTTGGAGTGAAATAATAGATATGAAAATTACTGTACATGTATATCTTAAAAAACTGTTATTTTAATCTTATCCCGAATAATTTGTCTTAATCTTATTAGGAAAAGGTAGTAAAATTAAACATAATACAAAGCGTATAAGAAGAAAAGTGCTGAGAACTTCTTTTTGTATTTTTTCAGAAACTGAAGAAAAAATAAAAGATTGTTTATACGTGGTCGAGCTTAAGAGTATCATCTAGGGTTTAATAATGATGAGAAGTGCAAATTCAAGAGTGAAACTGCTCTTTATCTTGCTTTTGGTAGAGGCTTCATTGGTTTGCTCCTTGGGAAAAAAAATATTCTTATTGGAATGAGACTACGATTCAGCAATGGGAGAGTGGTGTTGATTTCGAGGTTTTCGATGATTCGGAGGATTACTTAAGCCTGCGGAGGAGATTTAACCCCGATCTTTTTAAAATCCCTGAATCTATGAGAAAAAATCGGCCTAAACCTTCTCCTAGAGGTAATTGTAATTTTGTTAATTATAGCTAAATAGCATGCATGGTAATTAATAGAGAAACATGAATTTTACATGTTTGTTTTTGTGGTTTCATCTCAGTGGATCCATACGGGATTGTGACGATAAATTTGGACATATGGAATAAAACTCATGATAGTTATATGGCTAATGTAACAATAATCTTCAACTACTTGGAGAAAACAAACATTGAAGGGACATGGGAATTAATGTGGACATGGTACGAAGACGAAATTCTATTGAACACTGTGGGTGCTAAAGGTACACAACATGGCTATGTTTCGACAGATGACTACACATGCTGCTTGAATAGCGTGACCTTTGTGGACTTACCACCACAAACTCTTCATGATGACCAGTTAAATATAGTACCAAATTGTTGTGAGGACGGTTTGATTCCTCCGTGGCTTAAAGAAGCCGATCTTGCAAAAAGCTCTTGTTCATTTCAGATTTCTGTTGGCCAAGCTAATGTAGAATATCATCCGCCGCCGGAATATGTAACTTTGATCAGACAAGGATTGAAATACAATTGTGATCAAATGATAGATAGAACTCCTAGGCGTGGTTATCCAAGTAAGCTCATTGATTTTGCCACATTC